TGAATGGGTACTCCAATTGCCTCACCCTGCACTCCTGTTCAGCATGGAAGAAGCCAGAGTGGTCTACATCCCTATTCCCTATTGGCAATTTGGGTAACACCTTCAGAGAATGGCGTGATAAGAACAGGAGGTAGGAACTGGCTAGGCAATTAGGGTAAAAAGACCCCAAAGAAAGGTCGCCAGTTTCTGGGCTAAAAGTCAAAATGTCCTTGGGCCTGTTAGCAACATACTCTGTTCCAAAGGCCAAAAATGTCAAAAGTATTTGGGAGCTTGTATCTAATCCTTAAAAGATTTTAGGGTTACCTCTTCAGAGGAGGGAATGTTGGAGGGGAGTGAATGGGCATGGATTTGACCAAACACCTTATATGCATGTATGAAATTCTCAATAAAGTTTTTGTAAAAGTTGAAAAAGAGAGAAAAAAAGAAGAGAGCCAGGCGTGGTGGTGCACACCTTTAATCCCAGCACTTGGGAGGCAGAGGCAGGGGGATCTCTCTGAGTTGGAGGCCAGCCTGGTCTCCATAGCGAGGTCAGCTGGGGCTGCAGGGTGAGCTGTGCACTAGCTACATTCCCTCTGCTGACCATGGGTGTGATGTCAGCAGTTCTCTCTAGTTCCTGGTGCTGTGACCACCCTACCACGATGGAGCCAGGCCTGGAACCATAGCTAAGCAGCTTTCCCCTTAGCTGCTTCCGTCAGGGCACTGGTCACAGTAAGAGGACAGTTCCTAAGAGACACAGCCACGGCATTCGCAGAGCACCAGAGCACACAGTACCTGTTCCTGCAGGTCGTAGTCGTAGCTGTCATGCAGCAGAAGACTGAGCACATACCGCGTATAAATCATGGCATCAATGCCACACTTCTCTAGCTCTTGCCCCAGCCAGGTTTGCACTGGGCCCAACGCATGAAGCAGAGACATGTCAGAAACAGACACCGGGCCTGGAAAGGACCTGAGGAGCTTTCAGATGACAAACCATCCACAACAACTGGACAGACAAGGTGCATGGACTTAGGTTGCGGAAATTCTTAAAGAGCAAAGCATTTTCTGCAGCTGACGTTCTGCTGGTATCTGGAGAGGATTTCACTCCGGCAGAAAGGAGAGGTGCTTGACATGGAGGTCAGCAGGTTCTGTGCTGCAGTCAGCGCTCTACAACACCACTTCCCACTTCAGGCACGACCAATGAAGCAAAACCACGATAGCAGCACGCCCGCAGGTGTAATTTTCAACTTCCATTTCACATGAGGCCAAATGTCAGTCTCCGGCAGAACCTACACAAATCAGAGAGGAAAGTGTGTTACACATGGACAGCGTTACAGACCTTAGGAGATGACTTTTAAAAAGAAACTGTTCTTTTTAAAATACATTTGGTAGCTTACAACACTTTTCCCATGAATTCTTAGGCACTGGGTAACACTGTATTTTTTATGAGGGGGGGGGTCTTTTTGAAACAGGGTCTCCCGGTAGCCCCAGCTATCTGGAACTCACTATATAGAACAGGCTGACCTCGAACTCACTGAGATCCACCTGACTCTGCCTCCTGAGTGCTGGGATTAAAAGGGTGAGTCATGGCCTCTGCAATAAGAGTGGAGAGGCTGGAGTTCTGCCTGCACCAATGACACTGCGGCCCCCTTCCTGTGCCAAGAGAACAGACTGGTAACGTGTTGCTTGTAACAAATCATCAGTTCACACTGAAATAAAACAGGAACAGAAGCCACATAGTCAGTTCATTGAAACACTGGCTAAAAACAGTCATTTAAGTTTCAGTACAAAGGTTATTATTTTGTATGGTTAAAAACTGAAGATGGCCAGGAGTGGTGGCGCATGCCTTTAATCCTGGCACTCAGGAGGCAGAGGCACATGGATCTCTGAGTTCAAGGCCAGCCTGATCTACAGAGTGAGTTCCAGGACAGCTGGGGCTACAGGGAGACCCTGTCTCAAAAAGACCAAAAAAAAAAAAAGAAAAAATTGAAGATGGGAATCACTTCTTTCATACAACTTAGAGTGAAACAGATTTGTTTTACAGCTACACCAAGCTACACTGCCCACCCCACTCTAACTCTTCTTGTGTATCCAGGTGAGTTTCTGATTCCTTGTGGTTTGAACGAAAATGTCCCTAAGCTCCAAGCGTTTCAACACTTTTTTTTTTTGTGCTGGGATTAAAGGTGTGCGCCACCACGCCTTGCGGGCTCACTTCAACATTTTGTCTCCTGTTGATGGTGCTGTTCTGGGAGGTCTTAAGAAGGTGTGGCCATGCTGGAGGAAGCACATCACTGGGGATGGGCTTAGAGAGTTCTTAAGCCTTGCTGATCTTCAATTATACTCTGCTTCCTGTGCTGCTTGAAGATGTGAGACTTAGGTTCTGCTCCTGCTCCAGCCACCTCTTCCGTGACTCCCCACCATGATGGATTCTTGCCCCTCTGGAACCATAAGCTAAATAAATTCTTCCTTTTGTAAGTTCTGTTGGTCACGGTGTTTTATCACAGCAACAGAAAAGTGACTAAAACACTCGTGATAGGCATTACTCTTCATTTAGCAGCATTCCTTTTGCCAGACATACTAATGCACACCTTCAGTCCTAGCACTTGGGAGGCAGAGGCACATGGATCTCTGAGTTCCAGGCCAGCCTGATCTACAAAGTGAGTTCCAGGCCAGCTGGGGCTACAGGGAGACCCTGTCTTAAAAAAAAAAAAAAAAAATCCCCTTTAGCATACTTTACTATGTCCAAATGTTTACGGAATAAAAATTCATTTGTTCTATCTTTTGGGTTTGGGTTTGAGTTTTCTGAGGCAGAGTCTAGGTATGCAAAGTGGGAGGCTGGGGACTCCTTTACACTACCAGGCACACTCTAACACACAGGATTATACACTATGATACATAACACAGTATGATATTCTTTATATTAGAATACTAGGTGATACTGCTGGAAGATGAGAGCTAACATTATGAGAATGAAGCTCATGAGCTCAGTCAGCTTGTGCATGAACTTCAGCAGACAGTAAAAAGACCTCCAGCAAGGACTTTCAGAGATACTCTCACTGTTTGGAAACCACAAATCAGAAAGGGAAGTAGCCTTCCTTACAAAGTTTCTTATGTTCCACGGTGAAGTTTACACACATTAAATATAAGGAAAACAATTTTAAAATCCATGGTACAGCAAGCCACTCAGTATGTCACCAATACACTGTCTTTATTAAATTATGGAAGCTAATTAAAGATTTTCTACAATTTTTACTAGCTGATATTTTCTGGCTGTCTTTCAAAATGAAAACATTTCCTTTAAATCATTTAATAAATTTTAGGCTCAGACAAGATGTCCAGACAGATCACCGATTAATATATTCAACCCTGGACCAGATGAAGCAAGTTGACAAGCTAGTGAAAATCAGCTAGGACCAGAAGGAACTAGTGAAAGAATCTAGTCAACTGGACCTCAGAGAGACCTGAGTGGAGGCCTACCTAGACAAAGACCATCAGTGGCTTAGAACGGGCTGCCCTGGAGCATTCAGCAGAGTACTGATAGGTGTGTGTATGTACAGAACTACCTAAGGCAGTAAAGGACGACCACAAAGGGTGAGCCAGCATCTGATGCTAACAAGGCACACGGCAAAACCAGCCAAGTCAGGAAAGTCACCACCCAGGGCTCTGGTCTGCGTGCTGAGGAGTAAGTATCCCTAGAAACACTGCTCTGGTTCTGCCTAACAAATCTTGCTATTTTTCTTTTTGGCAGGGGGTGGTGGAGGAGGGAATGGTGGTATTCTCTGGTTTCTTGAGATAGGGTCTCATGTAGCTCCAGCTAGCTTGGCCTTGAACTCTTGATCCTCCTGACAGCATCGCCTGGATTACCAGCACCTACAGCAACACTGTCCCTGAACAAATCTTACAAGACCTCAAAGGGCAAAACTTTTGTCAACTAATTTCACTGTAGTGCTAGAACAAAGCCCAAGAGTATTTATAGGAATTCAAAAGCATCCAGTACCTAAGAAGGTAAAATTTACAATGTCTTGCACCTATTCAAAATAGGGACACGTATCACTAGTCACAATGATCATGTCAAGAGGCAAAAGATGAGGCTCTCAGTAGAAAACATCTAGCATTAAAAACTAGCACTTTGCCAGGCTTGGTGGTACACGCCTTTAATCCCAGCACTTGGGAGGCAGAGGCAGGCAGATCTCTGGGAGATCTTTTGGGAGGCCAATCTGGTCTCCATAGCAAATACAGGCCACCTGGGGCTACAGGGATACCCTGTCTCAAAAAGACCAAAAACAAACAAAAAAAAAACTAGCACTTCAGATAAAGTTAAGGAAGTACTGGTGGTACAGATGAATTAAAACACTGCAAAAGAAAAACTGATTCGCAGAAGACACCAAGTAATTTGCTCAGAAAGGTTTCACACAGTGTGTGTGCTGGAGAAACACAGCCCCCTTACCAGTGGCAGGGACATGCTCACCTGCCTGCATCTCATGCTTCCAGGCTGTCATGCCTCTGCCTCCACACAGGCAGTCTGTCTGCAGCACACTGTGCCCAGGACAGCATTTCAGAATATCTCTGGCTTCTCAGGTAGGTTTCTTCACAAACGAGGCTGCAAGGTTTTCAGGCCAAACTGTGTCGTACTTCATGTCCTATTTTGCAGAATGCTTAGGCCTTGGCAGGTAATCAAAACTGTGTTGAACTATCAATTTTCCTAATCTATTTAGGAAGGGAATAAACTCTCAGGAGACAGGTTTGGGACATAAAACTACCAAAGTAAAAACGTGGGGGAAGCACAACTCTGGTCACACTGGGAGTCTACCAATAAGGGAGTAACTGTCACCCAGGAACCCTAACCCTTACACCACCCTCACATGTACCACAGGCCTCCTGTGTGCCAGGCACTGTGCACAGAGCTGGCAACATAAAGACACTGACCCACAGGCTCCACTCTTGGTATTTCCCAAGAGTTATTGGGGGGCACTGGCCTCACAGTTAAGGCAGCTTGTACTTCGAACTGATCACTGGGTCCTGACCTTCCACTGGGTCCTGACCTTCCCTGCAATCTTGCACAGCACCTTCTGTAGTTGAGGTCACAGGTCTAACTGTACATTTCTAGCTGGTCCTTCCTTGCTACCAAGAACAACTTTGTGCACATGCTCAGTACTCAAGAAGTCTTCATTACTTGCAACTGTCTTTTCATAATTATTTAATCTGGATGTCTGTGGAATTTTTACACAAAGAATGAATGAATGGATAGATGAATGAATGAAGAGAGAGCCAGCAAGATGGTTCAGTGGATAAAGGCATTTGCGGCCAAGACTGGTGACCTAAGCTTGATCCCCAGGACCCACATGGTGAAAGAAGAAAAGCAACTCTCACAAGTTATCCTCTGACTTCCATGGGAGCCACGGTAGGCACATGCCTTAGACACACACACACACACACACACACACACACACACACACACACACATACACAGAGACGCAAAAGAAAATGTTAAAATAAATAAATGGAGGAGACAGAAGGAAAAGATGAAGAAAAAGGAACAGAAAATAAAAAGATATAGAAATCTAGGACTCTGGCTTTCAGATGCTACTGTTTTCTGTTCAAGAATTCTAAGTAGGGGCTGGAGAGATGGCTCAGCAGTTAAGAACGCTGATTGTTCTTGCAAAAGACCCGGGTTCAAATCCCAGCACCCACATGGCAGCTAACAACTGTCCGTAACTCCAGTCCCGGGGGATCTGACAGCCTCTTTTGTCCTCGTGGACACTGCATGACACGGGTGCCCTTACCTATATGCAGGCAATAAAATAAAAATAATAAATATTTTTTTTAAAAAACTACAAAGAATTCTAAGTAAACCAGGAAGCACAAACATAAAATGAAGTAGTGATGTATTTTAAATACATCCTCCCTGGTATTTCCTGACCTCAGTGCAGCAATCTGAAGCATAGAGGTTGCTATTCTTTTAGGAGCAGGCCGGCTCCAAATACTGCTTATGACTCAATCAGAACACCCTTGGAACCCAAATGGAACCACCACTGAGAACAGGAAAGAGGGGGGCTGAAGCTGATCCTGTATACCTGCTTCCTTTACCTGTCTCCAAAACTATGGACAACAGACAACCTGATCTACAGCTTTCTGCCTCATTCTAGAAACATGCATGTTAGGAAATGAATAAGGCTCTTTTGAAGATAACATAACCAACAAAACCAGTGTGAGGCCACATTCTTTTTATGCGAACAGGAAGAACTGCATGAAGATTAAGAAGTTCCATTTTTACTATAGCCACATCATC